TGTTAACTACCTTGTGCATTTGTATGGTGACAGAAATCGAACCATGAGGGCCCACAGATGTGAACCTGTTTCACCTTGACTAGAGGCCAGAGAGTTTGAGGTTATTTTTGCTCTTTCAAAGTTGTGAGGTAAGCCAGACCCAAAAAGAGGAACATGGGATGTACTCACTCATATTTGGTTTCTAGCCATAAATAAAGGACATTGAGCCTATAATTCGGGTTCTTAGAGAAGCTAAATAAGAAGGAGAACCCAAAGAAAAACATATAGGCATCCTCCTGAATATTAACCTTCATCAGGCGATGAAAGGAGACAGAGACAGAGACCCACATTGGAGCACCGGACTGAAATCTCAAGGTCCAAATCAGGAGCAGAAGGAGAGAGAGCACGAGCAAGGAACTCAGGACCGCGAGGGGTGCACCCACACACTGAGACAATGGGGATGTTCTATCGGGAACTCACCAAGGCCAGCTGGCCTGGGTCTGAAAAAGCCTGGGTTAAAACCAGTCTCGCTGAACATAGCGGACAATGAGGACTACTGAGACCCCAAGAACAATGGCAATGGGTTTTTGATCCTACTGCACCTATTGGTTTTGTGGGAGCCTAGGCAGTTTGGATGCTCACCTTACTAGACCTGGATGGAGGTGGGTGGTCCTTGGACTTCCCACAGGGCAGGGAACCCTGATTGCTCTTTGGGCTGACGAGGGAGAGGGACTTGATTGGGGGAGGGGTAGGGAAAGGGGAGGCGGCGGTGGGGAAGAGACAGAAATCTTTAATTAATTAATAAAGAAATAAATAAATTAAAAAAAACAAAGTTGTTGACAACAGATGTCCCTACAAATGAGAGATTCTGACCTAGGTTGTGGTTAATTAGTATTCTGGGTATAGAGGTAGATCTGCTCTACCTGGACCAAATTCAAGTCTAGTCCTTATATCATGTTAATAAAGTCTGTTACTTCCCCTTCCCCTTTTGAAGTAAAGTATATAAGCATGTGGAGAATAAATGAGGACAAATTCAGGATTCAGTAACTACTTTCTTTTCCCTCCCGATGATGCTCTGTATTCCTGCCTCCCATTTCTATTATATCTCTGTTCCTTTTGCTTAATAATTCTAATCCTCGGGACTGGAGAGATGGCTCAGTGGTGAAGAACATTGCCTGCTCTTCCAAAGGTCCTGAGTCAATTCCCAGCAACCACATGGTGGCTTACAACCATCTGTAATGAGGTCTGGTGCCCTCTTCTGGTCTGCGGGCATACACACAGACAGAACATTGTATACATAATAAATAAATAAATAAATATTAAAAAATAATTCTAATCCTCACACTCCTACCCTGGAACGTATGAGTTTCACCAAGGCTTGTCTTCGATAGACCCAACGTGGTGACTTCGACATTTAACAATACCCTTGCATTTACCCACATCCTTTTCTTCTAACATCCTTAATTTTTATTTCTAAAACTTGTTCCTGATTTTTCCACTAGTGTACTTACTTATTGTATCTCATCTGTCTTCCTCTTTGTTGTAGTGACATTGTATTTGTATTTTAATAAATAAACCTTTCCTGAAGATCAGAGTGCCAGGGAAAGGTGGCACACCTTTAATCCCAGGATTTGGGAGACAGGCAGACAGCTCTCTGTGAGTTCAAGGCTACCCTGGGCTATACAAGATTGATCCAGAAACAGATCCCGGTGGCAGTGGCTCACATCTTTAATCCCAGCACTAGGGACATGGAGACAGGAGCAATATGACTGGGCAGAGAAAGGAATATAAAGGGGGAAAAGACAGAAACTCACTAAAGTGTGGAGTCTGAGGTTTGGTGGAGACAGTGCAGTCTAGACAGTCTAAGGATCAGCCTGTCTGAATTCTATTATGAACCTTTAATATCTTTCTAGATGTTTTTGCTCATAGAGATTCTCTATGTAACAGGGATGTTTCTAAACCCTTGAAACCAAATATTAGAACTTGTTAATCTCTGTACTCAGTTTACTTAAAACTGTACAACTGCAGCTGGACAAAGTGGTGCACACCTTTATCCCAGCACTTGGGAGGCAAGGGCAGGCAAATCTCTAAATTCAAAGTCAGCCTGGTCTACACAGATTGAGTTCCAACCAAGGCTACATAGAGAAACCCTGTCTCAAAACAAAACAAAACAAAAAACCCTGTACATCTAATAGACATTCGGTGAGTTTCTATGTAGGCACAAATGAATTAACCAACTGAAGTGCTTTTTATTTAAAATGTTAAAATATGGGGCAACGGTTAAGAGCAACCATGTGGATATTCACAACCAGCAATATCTAGTTTCAGAGGATCCAATGCTCTCTTCTGAGCTCTGTGAAAGCAAGGCACACACATGACATATTTGCAAGCATGACACTCATACACAAAGAATAAAAATTAAGTTTTAAAATGTTATTTCCTAGCTCTGGTGTGCTATTGTGTAGCAGGGTAATTGCAGATGATGATTATACACTATATTTTAAAAAGCTAGATGGGGGCTGCAAAGATGACTCAGAAGTTAAGAGTGCACACTGCTCTTGCCGAAGACAGGAGTTAAGTTCCCAACTCCCACGTGGGCTCATGAGCACTTGTAACTCCAGCACTTGCCTCAGACCTCTATGAGTACCTGCTCTCACCAGACACCCCCCAACTCATAATTAAAAATAAAAACAAATCTAAAAGGAAAAAGCTAAAGAGAAAGGTTTCCAATGTTTTCACCATAAAGATGAGAACTATTTGAGGAAGTAGATTTATTTATCCAGACTTAAACAGTGTAGAATGCATATACATATCAAAACAGCATGTGTACCCCTTAAGTATGTATGATTTTTCTATTTTTATATTATCTGTTTAAAAACATCCAAAGTTTGTAAGAAGTCTATAGACAAGACTGTAGCTGCTGAATGACATCAGTAAGAACGGATGGCTACTAGTGCAGTAACAGCAGGTTTTCTCAGCTCAGGTGTCCTGCAGAGGACACAGGAGAAAGGACAGCAGGGGAGGTAAAGCATCTGTGTCTCCTTCCTTGTCTAGATGCTGAAAGAAGAGGAAAAAAGGCAGAAACCAAGACATAAAATCACAAACCACTGTTTATCCAGGAAACAAAAACCGTCTTCTACAGTGGTGGCACACACCCTTAATCCCAGCACTTGGGAGGCAGAGGCTGGCAGATCTCTGTCAATAGTTCCAGGACAGGCTCCAAAGCTACAGCGAAACCCTGTCTTGACAAAAAAACAAAACAACCAGTCTTCTAGAACAGCAGGGGCAAAGTTGATACAGAGTTTGCCTAGTATGTGCCTAGTTTGCCTTGGGTTTGATGCCAGCACCACCAAATAAGATAACTCAAGACAAGACTTACACAGGGATTTACTATAGGACAATGGTCTTGTATCCTATGAAGATCTGTTACTGCCAGTAGCCAGGCAGGAATTATAGGTGGAAAGAGAAAAGACTCAGTCTACAGTCATCACCCAGATGCAGAGGAAGCAAGATGAGAATGCTTCACTAATATAAGGTACCAAGCCACATGGCTAACACAGACAAGAATTATGGGTCAATTTAAGATATAAGAGTTAATAAGAAGCCTGAGTTAATAGGCCAACCAGTTAATAATTAATGTGTGTTTCTTTGGGACTGAATGGCTGAACCAGGCAGGACAGAAACTTCTGTCAACAGGAATTCTGTATTAAACAATACTGACTGAAAGACTGAAATTAAGTTTTGTTTTATTTATCCATTTATCTATCTAGCTATTTATTTATTTATTATATACGTGCCATAAGAGGGCACCAGGATGTCATTATAGATGGTTGTGAGCCACCATGTGGTTGCTAAAAATTGAACGCAGGTCCTCTGGAAGAACAGTCAGTGTTCTTAACCTTTGAGCCAGCTCCTTGAAATTAAGTTTTAAAGGGGTCTATAGGCCACAGGAGCAGATTCAGCAAAGTGACTTGTTAAATCTCTTTTAGTAGACAAATGTGGGCTGGAGCAGTAAGGACTGCCCACTTAAATCTTCAGTTGCTAATCCTAATAACTAACTTCACACAAAATGAATCAAATATCAGTATCAATCTGAACGCCAGTACATTTTGTGAGTGTTTATGTGTGTGGTATTAGGGACCAACTTGGGCATCAGGCATTGTAGGCAAGCACTCTACAACTGAACTACATCCCAGTCTCAGTACTAGTGTATTTTAAAAGAAATAGCTAAAACAAGAATGCAAAAAGCTGAAACTATCAACATATTTGCGTTTCTAAAAGGATGTAGAAAATTCGGGGCTGCAGAGATGGTTCAGTATTAACAGCAGGACATAGGTGTGGTTCCCAGAACCCATCTGGCAGCTAATAGCCATCTGAAACTCCAGTTCCAGAGGATTAGACAGCCTCCACCAGCACTACATACATTAGCACAACAGACACATATGCAGGTAAAACACCCATATACAAGAAATAAAAATGAATTGTCAGGCATGGTAGCAAATGTCTTTAATCTGAGCACTTAGGAGGCTCACTAGACAAGTCCTTGTGAGTTCGAGGCCAGCCTAGTCTACATAGTGAGTTCCAGGACACCCAGGCTTATGTAGAGAGACTATTTGTCTCAAAAAAAGAAAACAAAACAAAAACACAAAACACAATTAAGTCTATTTTCAAAAGAAATTCTGAATTATAAAATTTATTTTTTAATCTCTTCCGCACCCCCCATCTGTAAGAGTGTGTGCCTACCTGTTCATCTCTATACCACATATGTCCCTGGTGCAGAGGGGATGAGAAGATTGCATCAGGTCCCCTGCAACTAGCGTTACAGACAGTTACGAGTCAGACGGTGGGTGCAAGAAACAGAAGCCAGGTCCTCTGGAAGAGCAGCCAGGGTTCTTAAAACACTGACGCATCTCTCCAGCCCCTAAATAAATCTTCTTTTAAGAAAAGAATTCAAGAAAGAAGTCTTTCCATATACTTTCCTTTTTTAAAAAATGAAATAAATTACTGAAGATAAAACTTACCTTTGACAGTATCCTGGGGCAACACAAGCCTGAGACGATCAGTCTAGGTTACATTCAGTGCAAAGAGCCAAATCCCTGAAAAGAAAAAACTGGCAATGAACCATACAGACAAAGTAAGCTGCCTAGAGAAGTAGCAGAGTAGGCAATTTCCTATGAATCCACTCTTCCGTTTACAGTTTGTGGGCAGTGGCCTAACTTTGCAAACGTCTTCCTCAAGGCTTCTTTCAAAGTTAAGTAAAAAAAAAAAAAAAAAAAAAGTAAACTGTAACACAAAGTGCTGAACAGCCATTCAATAAAGGCCAAATGGTGATCAGAAATGCAAAGGCTGGGGAGAATCTCCCTGGTACACTTGCCTAAGGTGTGAGGTTCTGGTGCCATAATGTCAACATATGAACAGAACAGTTTCTGAAATGGCATTACAATCTGTGTTCACTCTTTACTATTTTCTTTTTAAACAAACTGAGTTTTTGATTATGTGTTTACATCAAGGAGAAAAAGCATGTTTACATGAATGAGAAAAGTGCTCATGTGGAGGTAAGAGGATAATTTTCAGAGTTAGTTCTCTCCTTCTACCTTGATGTAGGTTCCAATTAAACTCAGTTTGTTAGGTGAGCACCTTATGTGCTGAGCATCTCTTTTTTTGGTTTGTTTGTTTACTGATAGCATTTCCCCATATGAACTATAATAATGACCACCATGGCATAATAACCTGATGGTTCAATAGTGGCATGCATACCTTGGCAGTAACCAATAGCCTGTTAATTTTAAGACCTGGCCAACAAAAGGAAAAGTCATACCCAGTACTGAAAAGGAAGCCAACTACCTGGAGCTGCTAAAGTCATGGATCTTGGAGAACCTACAACTGCCATTTTACTAAACAAGCATAATCCCTTCTACATTCTAAATATTTATCCTGTACCCACACTCTCACTCCTCATCAAAGAAAAGTTTTCTTTGCAACTGGTGGAAACCATTATAAAAAAACACAACTAATCAAAATGTAGAGAATAAGACAAGTGATGCCCATTCCCAACTGATACAGTTACAACACAATTCTTGTACCTAAGGCTCAGAGGGGCTGGAAAGATTTTAAGAACCAGAGAAACAGGAGATTTGCTTTGAGAGCGCTTCTCCTAGAAATGTCAGAGAGGCTACATCCCTTAAGTCTCATCAACATGAATGCCTAAAGATCTGCACAATGATGACACTAATGGTCACACTAAAAGGGAATGGGGAAAGCTTTGGGAGCCTCAACTCTAGACAAAGAGCTATGGGCAACTGGGGAATGCTGAGCGTAGGAGAAATGATATTCCCCTAGGAAGAGCTCCATATAATACCAAGTGGACCACCCTGAGATCATATACATATACAGATAACATTATATATACTAAGCAGATTGTATTTATGTATTTAAGAACACATACATGCAGTAATAATTAAAGATAAAGAAGTCATGAATTTGAGAGCAGGGGGCATGCATAGAGATTGAGGGGGAAATGAGAAGGTGGGAAATGATGGAATTGTGTTATAATTTCAAAGAATAAAAAATGATTTGACCTTTGTGTATGCTGTGGCTTAAAATGAGTAAGTAAGTATCTATTACCTTTAGTGCAGATTTTTAAAATGAACTGGCCAGATCCATTTCTCCACTGTGCAGTCCAATTTGCATCTGTCCACCACACACAAACTAATTGCTGCTGAAGCCTTTTGTTGATTCTCTTCCTCTCCTGTTTCAGTCTCTCTAGTGCTAAGATTACAGGCATGTCACAATGCACAAATCGTTACTATTTCCTATTTTATTTGTTCTATCTCCCTCAAAAAATACCAAATTGTTTTTTCAATGTCTCCATCTGAATGTCTCATAATCACCAGACTCAACTGGACCCAAACTCTACCTTCACCCTATCTAGACTACTCCTTTCCTTTGCCGCTGGTGTCCCCTCCAGGACTTTCCTAGACCCTCCTCTGACACCTCTCTAGCTTCATCTTACAAAGCTACATTGTATTCTGTTTCTTCAGAGCACCCATGGTTTACATGCCTTTGTAAAAGGTATTTACTCTTACAAGCACCCTGAGGCCAAACTTCTCCATTTACAGACAGATTCAAGCTTAGGCAATCTTTAACACGATCTCATCTCATAAGTAATCTGGATGCTCCCTTCCTCTAATAGTACCTATACAGGCAATACTCCCTAGGCTTGCTTATGTGTGGACTACAAGGTTATAAGCTTCCTGAAGGTATGGTCTGTGTGGTGGTTTGAATAAGAATGGCCCATGGCTCATATATTTAAATGCTTAGTCATCAGGGAGTGGCACTATTTGAGAAGGATCAGGAAATGTGATCTTGTTGGAGTAGGTGTGGCCTTGTAGGTGAATCAATGGGGTGGCCTTTGTAGTTTCAAAGGCCCAAGCCATAGTGTGGTTCTCTCCTGCTGCCTGCAGCTCTAAAGAGATGTAAAACTCTCAGCTACTTCTCCCGCACTATATCTGCCTATGTACCTATGTACCATCATGCTCCCTGCCACGATGATAATGAAATAAACCTCTAAACTGTAAGCAATTCCTTTACAATATGTGAATATATGTCACTCTGATTGGTTTAATAAAGAAGCTGACTTGTCAATAGTTGGACAGAATAAGGTTAGGAGGAGACCCAAACAGAGAATGCTAGTAAGAAGGGTGAAGTCAGGAATCACAAACAGACACAGAGAGAAGCAAGATGGGCAAGTTGTACTGAGGAAAGGTAGCAAGCCACGTGGCAAAGTGCAGATCAAAAATATGGGTTAATTTAAAATATAAGAGTTAGCTATTAACAAGCCTGAATTATTGACCATTCATTTATAATTTATATTAAGTGTAAATAGTTATTTGGGAAGTTGCTGCCGAGACACAGGAAAATTCTGCCTACAAAAGATGACCAATGTGTAGGCCAGAATTTCCATGTGTAACCTGACAAAGCTTGAGGGAAGGTTCTAAAAGCACATAAAGCCAAACACAGCTTTCTAATCTTGTGCCTCTGATGCCAGTTGCAGTACAGAGATGCCAGTATCTGCCTGTGGGCTTGAGCTGCCAGCATGAGCCATGCCAGCAGACCAAGAGTTAAATTGTATCATAGGTTCCTGCAGTCTCTCACATGGGCCGAGATACAGAGAGGTTATCTTATGGCAGCTGCCTGCAAGAAGAACCAGCTGCCATGTACTATCTTAAACTGCACTGGTGGCAACTAATGTAGCTGTTTAAGATTTGTCTCATGCGATCAAAAAACAATATAGATGCTGTGTAAAAACAGATCCAGACCTCCCGCCACCAAAAAGCCTCTGAATGGGTTACGGTATGTTTAAAGATAAAAAATATACAGTCAGTCTGGATACTGTATGTTATTGTGTTGTCTTTGAATTTTTTGACTGCTGAGAAAGAAGAGATAGCTGCTAAGAGACACTGGATTATAAAAGCTTTTGGATTAAATCAACCTATATATTTGATAAATGTCTTGGCTTCAAAATGGAAGTCAAAAGATGTGTTACTTTGGGGAAGAGGTTATGTTTTTATTTCCACAGGAAATGAAAGGCTATGGATTTAAGGTTGATGAGGTTTGAACGAGGAAGACCCTCTAAGAATTCTGGCTACAAACAATAAACCTAGAAGAACTATAAGACTCATTATATATATTTTATCTGCTCAAACATAAAACAAAAAATCATATTTGGATGACTTGTACAATGGACAGTCTATACTGTCCATGGACATGTCAGGTATGTTTTCAGGGACATAAACAGATATATTTAGATAGGTAGATGGTCTTCAAACACTTCAAAGCCTACAGAATATGACATTTAATATGTTTAATAACCTAAGGCTTTTCATGACATTAAGACACATATGTTCCTTGCAGCACCAATCTACTTCAAAGAATATGATAGGCATCAAAGAAACTCCATATGGAGTTTGTTTTCTTTATGGCAAAAAAAAAAAACAAAAAAACTGCCCTTGTCGCAATTGCTGACAGCGTACTGTCCCAACTGGACCAGCAGGGCAGCACAAAAAGGTGACTGCAAATTTTTTCCAAGACAAGATAGGAAAGTTTATCAAAATCCCCTGTTTCTCAGAAATGTCTGTCAGAAATACTAGGCCTGCCTGTAGGCCATAGTTAGATGCCTCAGTTTTACAGAAGAACCTGTGGTGACTGTCTAGGCAACCAAATGTCCCTGTCAATAGGTAACATTTCACCCTTCTGGGGTCTTTGATGGAAGTGAAGACTAGATGGTCATAATTAAAGTTTTCCTTAGTTACGATAAAAAGTAAATTAGATATAAAACTTTAGAGTCACAAAGATAAATAATAAGAGTATTTTCTCTTAATTTGCCCAATTTACTGGATACAAGTGGACTGGATATTGTAACTGTAATTCTTTTTTATTTTTCTTTTTTTTTCTTCTTTTTTTAAATATTTATTTATTTATTATGTATACAATATTCTGTCTGTATGGATGCCTGCAGGCCAGAAGAGGGCACCAGATCTTATTTATGGTGATTGTGAGCCACCATGTGGTTGCTGGGAATTGAACTCAGGACCTTCGGAAGAGCAGTCAGTGCTCTTAACCACTGAGCCATCTCTCCAGCCCCTGTAACTGTAATTCTTAATAACTGTTTTGTTGTATAAATTTTACTATGTTAAAGTTTAAAGTCCTCCTTTTTAATTAGACAAAAAGGGGAAAATGTGAAATATTCCTTTATACTGGTGAATATATTTCACTATGACTGGTTTAATAAAGAAGCTGACTGGTTAATAGCTGGACAGAATAAGGTTAGGGGGAGAGCCAAATAGAGAATGCTGGGAAGAAGAAGGGAGGAGTCAGGAGTCACAAACAGATGCAGAGAAAAGCAAGATGTGCATGCTGTACTGAGGAAAGGTACGAAGCTACCTGACAAAGTGTAGATAAAAAAAAATGTGTTAATTTAAAATGTAAGAGTTCAGTATTAACAAGTACTGTATGATAATGCTCTTGTACCCTGTAAAGGTCTGTCACTTGTATTGGTTTAATAAAATGCTGACTGGCCAGTAGCCAGGCCAGAAGT